AAACAGGTCCCCATATTGGCTGTAAGTTGAGGAGTATCTATAGTTACTCAAGATTATTGGCTAGGAATCGGCCTCACAAGGGGGTGATTAGACAACAACAAACGGGTCTCTTTTGTGGGAATATAAAAGGTTTCCCTGTCCAGTTGTGTCCGATTCTAGGGTGTGGTGTTGTTTCTTAGCCGAGGGAGCCATCATTGTCCGAAGACATTTTCCGTGGTCAGCTCAGGTGGCCGGCATGGCTATACCCCAAAGGCGCACAGAACGCTGTTACTTTCCCCCCGAAGTGGTACCTATTTATCTACTCACCTTTGCATGCTTTCGAGCTTCTGGGTGGGCAGGAGCTGGAGCAAGGGAAGGGAACTCACCCATTCAATGAGCGCTCGGGTCTCGAACCTCAACGGTCAGCTTTCCAACTGACAAGCTCGGGATCTTTTAGTGAATTGACTTAGAAGATTTAGTATAACTTTGATTGTCACTTTGAATGTACACTAATCGGCATACATTAAAATGAAATTTTGTTCCGTACAGCTCTCAAAGGGTCTCCACCTCCAACATTCCCTACATAAACATGACGGAATAAATAAATAAATACAAAATTATGGACATACCCACGTATATTATATGACACAGAGAAACAACATAGTCTAGTTCGGATGTATATATGTACATGGCAGGAAAAATGAATCTTGCGAGTTGACCAGATGGATGGCATAGGGCCGTGATGGTGAATCTATGGTGCACGTGTGCAGCAGAGGTGGCACGCAGACCCCTCTCTGTGGGCACGCGCACCGTTGCCAACAGCTCTTCTGGTTTTTGGCCAGCTGGTCTTGACGGAAAACAGCAAAAATGGCCCAAAAACCAGTCTGAAAACAGCCTGGAAAACGGGCATGTGCACTAGGTGTTGAAAAGGTTCGCCATTACTGGCATAATGGGGAACAAAGCTCTTACAGATTCCTGGAAGTCCTGCTAGAAATTCTTCAAAACCTCCTCTCAGAGGAGAGCAACAGAAACAGACCGTGAAGAGAGGGTGCGGGATCTCTAACAACGCTTTGAGCTCTAAGCACATAGCACTTATAAGCAGTATCCTGAATGACAGGAAATGAGCTTCCTATAAATCTTCTCGGTTGTCCTTACCACTCTCTGTATGGACTTTCTATCCGATTGGCAAAGCCAGAATATCGGCAGCCAAAAAGAGAAGCCGATGGATAACGGATAATCGGTACAAAAAAAGAGAGAGCAGGAAATGGTTTATCAGAAAGTGCCCTTAAATAGACAAGTTCAGGGTTTGTTTGGGTTTCTTTCCGAGTTGTGATAGATCTTTGCGCAAAGGGAACACACACGCATGAATCATAACGCTGCCTGGAAATGCTGGTGACATCAGTTGGAGGTTTGGTCTCAAGACTTCCTCTGAACTGAAGGTGTGATGAAGTGTTAATTTCTGATGCTTTCGGTTTTGGCACTTCCCAGGCCAGTGTGGGAAAATGTGCGCTGTTGTTTGTGTGTTTGATTGATGAGCTTGCTTTTCCTCAAAAGTGCAGCCCCCGGGGATCCCGTGCCTGTCACTTTTCCCACAACGACAACTCCGCAGGGTAGGCCGAAAGGGTGTGATTTAATCAAAGGAAGTGTGAGCTTTCGCAGCCACGGATGAGCGTGAGACGGGGGGTGTCCCTGCTTCTCCTCTGGCACACGCACTGTTACCCCCAAGGGTGTGATGTCTAATATTCCTGTCAGAATATTTATTATTAAATTCATACTTGACTTACAACCATTCGTTTAGTGACCGAAGTTACAACAGAACTGAAAAAAAAGGGACTTACGAACATTTTTCACACTTACAACCGTTGTAGCATTCCCCGTGGTCAAAATTCGGACGCTTGGCAACTGACTCATATTTATGATGGTCCCGCTTTTGCGACCTTCTGGCAAGCAAAGTCAACGGGGAAGCCCGACTCACTTAACAACCGTGTGACTAATTTAACAACTGTAATGATTCACTTAACGACAGTGACGAGAAAAGACATCAAATGGGACAAAGCTCGCCGAAGGACCGGCTTTGCAAAGACGCTAAGAAATTTGGGGCTCAGTTGTGGTCGTAAACTGAGGACTATCTGTAAAGTGGCTGGAATAAATAGGGAACAAGTTCGATCTTGTGTCTCCGGAGAAAGGCGGCATATAAATTGAATTAATAAATAAATAAATCTTGGTTTATTGCATGCAGGACACATGAGCTTGGATGGAAACATCTGGATTTCCCAGGCAGAATTTATTTTTTATTTTTGTTTGCTTTTTAGAAAAGTCACACAATTAAAAGCAGGGAGGAACACCTGAAATTTAATCAATGTAATCAATGAAAAGGAAGAGCTGCATTTTGATATGTTTGGCAAAAGTGGGGGTGCAAATCCTTCTTATTCCACATAAAGTGTGATTTATACCCACTTTTATTTACGATCATTATGTCTCTCTCCCACTGTTCCTTATGCAAATCTCGGCCCTTCCGCATTTTTCCTGGCTCAGCACAGCATATGCGGCCTTAAATCAAATGGGCGGCTGGGGGAAGGAGTGGGGGGGGGGGTTAGAGAGCACTTACTATATTTTGTAAAGGAGATTAATGAATGCAGCCGTGGTTTACGCTAATCCCTGGCCCAGGAGACAGGAGGGCCAGCAGCTTATCCATACACATATAGAGTAGATGTGTGTTGTTGAGTGGTTATGCACAGAAACACATACAAAATATATAGTTTGCCTATCTATCTATCTGTCTGTCTATGTCGTTTCTCCTATCTTCTTTCGGTCTTCTCTCGCTCTTTTATCTATAATTGATAAAACATCTATTTCTATTTTATCTGTCTGTCTGTCTATCATCTATCTCTCTTTTCATCCCTCTATCTCTCCTCTTTCCTTTCATCCATCCATCTATCTATTTTTCAGTCTCTCATGTCTCCATCCATCCATCCAATCTCTCATCTTATCTCTCCATCCATCTCTCTCTCATTTCTCCTTCCATCGATCTATCTCTCCTATCTTGCCTTTCATCTATCTATCTATCTTCTATCTATCTCTCAATCTCTCATCTCTCCATCCATCCAATCTCTCATCTTCTCTCTCCATCCATCCATCTCTCTCATCCATCCATCCAATCTCTCATCTTCTCTCTCCATCCATCCATCTCTCTCATCCATCCATCCAATCTCTCATCTTCTCTCCATCTATCCATCCATCTCTCACTCTCATCTCTTTCCATCGATCTATCTCTCCTATCTTTCCTTTCATCCATCCATCCATCCATCTATCTATATTCTATCTCTCAAGCTCTCATCTCTCCATCCATCCAATCTCTCATTTTATCTCTCCATCCATCCATCTCTCTTTCTCATTTCTCCTTCCACCGATCTATCTCTCCTATCTTGCCTTTCATCTATCGATCTATCTATCTATCTATCTATCTATCTATCTCTCAATCTCTCATCTCTCCATCCATCCAATCTCTCATCTTATCTCTCCATCCATCCATCTCTCTCTCATCCATCCATCCAATCTCTCATCTTCTCTCCATCTATCCATCCATCTCTCACTCTCATCTCTTTCCATTGATCTATCTCTCCTATCTTTCCTTTCATCCATCCATCTATCTATCTTCTATCTCTCAAGCTCTCATCTCTCCATCCATCCAATCTCTCATTTTATCTCTCCATCCATCCATCTCTCTTTCTCATTTCTCCTTCCATCGATCTATCTCTCCTATCTTGCCTTTCATCTATCTATCTATCTATCTATCTATCTATCTATCTATCTATCTATCTATCTCTCAATCTCTCATCTCTCCATCCATCCAATCTCTCATCTTATCTCTCCATCCATCCATCTCTCTCTCATCCATCCATCCAATCTCTCATCTTCTCTCCATCTTTCTATCCATCCATCTCTCACTCTCATCTCTCTTTCCATCGATCTATCTCTCCTATCTTTCCTTTCATCCATCTATCTATCTATCTACTATCTCTCAAGCTCTCATCTCTCCATCCATCCAATCTCTCATCTTATCTCTCCATCCATCCATCTCTCTCATCTCTCCTTCCATCGATCTATCCTATCTTTCCTTTCATCTATCTATCTATCTATCTATCTATCTATCTATCTATCTATCTATCTATCTATCTATCTATCTATCTTCTATCTCTCAATCTCTCATCTCTCCATCCATCCATCCATCCATCCAATCTCGTCTTATCTCTCCATCCATCCCCCCCTCTCATCTCTCCTTCCATTCTATCTCTCCTATCTTTCTTTCATCTATCTATCATCTATCTATCTATCTATCTATCTATCTATCTATCTATCTATCTATCTATCTATCTATCCCTCAGTATCAATCCCTCAGTATCTACACCTATCTGTCTGTCCGTCCATCCATCCATCCCTCTCTCTCTCTCATCCATCCATCCAATCTCTCATCTTCTCTCCATCCATCCATCCATCCATCCATCTCTCTCCTCTCTCCTTCCATCCATCCACCCATCTCGTCTTATCTCTCTCCTTCTCTCTCTCTCTCTTTCCTATATCACCCATCAATTTATCATCCCTTTCTCTCTCTTTCTATTCTCTCTCTCCCTTAACTATTTCTCCTATCCCCCTCCCCTTCCTATCATTTTTTTTTTTGATATCCTCCATCCATTCATTTCTCCTCTTTCTCCTCTTTCTCTCTTTTTACAGGTCCATCCCGCCTTCCAAGAGCCCCGGTGGTCGCGGGCAAAGCCGAGAACCCCCCCATCCCCAAGTCCCGGGCAAGGAGACCCCCCCCTCCCTGCATCCCCAGCGCGCGGGGACCCTCCGGGAGAGCTGCCCGTCCTGGCTTCTCCTGCGCGGGTCCCGTCGAGCGGCGGCTCCGGGGCTGACGGAGCCGGAGCCTCGCCCGGGCGGCTGCGTCGCTTGGGCGGGTCCCTGTGGCGGGTAGCTCCGCCTCGGCTCGCCTCGCCTTCCCTTCCCTTTGCCCTGCGCGGAGCAGAAGCGGCCAGGCGCGCTGCCCACCGGCCGCCCAGCTGCGTCTCCGGAGCCCCGCCGGTCCCTGCTCTGGCTTGGCTCCTTCGCCCGCCGGGCTCTTTCCACCGCTGCCCGCCCGGCTTCCTTGCTTGCCCGGCCCGCCCAGGTTACACAAGCGGCCGGAGAGAGGACGGACGGGCGGCCGGAGTGCGGCTCCGCGCACCAGGTAAGCCGCTTTTTCCACCCCTCGGGGAAGGTCACGGGAGTTTCCAGCCACGCGGGGACGGGGAAGGGAGGAAGAAGCGGGCAGGCCTGGAAGGGGAAGGGGAGGCTCGGGGTTTTGCCAGCCCAGCGCCCCCTCGGGGGGTTGCCAACTGACCGCTTCCAAACCAGCCTCGGATGGCTCCTGTGCCTTGCAGCCGGAGGTAGAGCCCGGAAGGGGGTTTATTTGGGTGGGGGGGCTTGCAGGACCCCTTTTAAAAGAATCGCACCCCGGTTTTGGGGGGTCTTTTTCCAGGAGTTTTAAGTTGGCGCCCGCGGGCGCCCGCTTGCAAAAGGCGCGCGCCGCAAGGGCTTTAATTGCGAGGTGTTTTTTTGGTGGGGGGGGGTCAGGAAACATCTGTTCAAGGTGGGTTCAAAGAGAGAGAGGGGGGGGCAGACAGCCCAGAGGACCTCCCTCCTTCCCTCCGCTGCAAAAGGTGGGGGGGGGCTTCGACTACCCATGCTTCCCGACCTGGGGACGGATGGGAGTTGTAGTCCTTGCCCTCTTGGGAAAAGTCTGCTTCGCAAGGAAATTGGGAGAGGAGGAGGAGGATGGGGGTCTCTTCCTTGGTTTTTTTTTTTTTTTTTTGAGAGGAGGGGGCTGAAAAGAGAAAGGTTGTGTTGAGTTTGTGTGTGTGTGTTTTGTTTTGTTTTTTTTGGTTTTTTTGTGCAATTGGCACAAACTCTTCCAACCTGCGCTGGAATTGGACTATTTAACCATGGTTTCTCTTAAGCCTGTTTGTGTGAAAACCATCCAGTCCTGGTTAGGAAACGTAATACTTGGTTCCAGGCAGAAAGTTAAAGGAAGCTGCAAAGGTGATTTTTTCTCTTTCAATGAGCCCCCCCCCTTTTTTTTCCTCCCCCCCCTCCTTTCTGGTTCTTTTAATGACAGCCTTGAGGGCCAAAATTAAATACCGCTTTGCTAGCTTGTTCCTACAAAAGTTTTCCAAGAAGGCAGGAAAACTGCCTCCTTAGTCCTTTATTTGTTTGTTTGTTTGTTTGTTTTCTTCCTCCTTGTTTGGAGGAGAATTAAAAAGGTGGAATAATTTGCAGGGACTCCAAATCTGGCTTTTCATTCCAAGGTTGTGGAAAATCCCAGGAAATCATCTCTTTAAGGTCAGGATGACCGCAATGATTTTGCACAATTTCAGTGGTTGTTTTTGTTTTTTTTAACCTTGGCCGGCTTGGAAGATGTGTGGACTTCAACACCCAGAATTCCCCAGCCAGCTATGCTGGCTGGGGAATTCTGGGTGTTGAAGTCCACACATCTTCCAAGCCGGCCAAAGTTGGAAAACACTTGAGAGATAAAGTCCACATTAAAACTCTTTTAAGTGACAGCACCGAGCTGATATTGGGAGAAAAAATAAAATAAAATAAACCCTATGCACAATCAAAATTGGGTTGATTTTGGGTGAGAAAGACAGTACAGTAAAAAGAAAATAAACTTTTAAAAAAAAGAACAATGTAAAAAGTAAAAATAAAAAAAAAGAAAAATGTAAAAGAAATCGTATTTTGGGGCAAGTGCCTTTGTGCTGTGTTGCGAAGAAAACTGCCGAGTTGTACAATTGACGTGTAAAGGGTGATTAGGATACTTGCGTGTGTAAAGGCTGTGTTTGGGCCTTGGATCTGTGGCTTATTAATAAACCATGGTTAGATAGTTGAGCCCTTTGGCTGTTGTCTTCAGCTCAGCTGCACCTAATGTTGTGGCTAACTTGGAGGGCTTAATTCAATTTGCTTCTGAATTTCAGCTGCTCCAAAATGCAAAAATCTGTATTTTTTTCCCCCCACTTCAGGTTTAAACAAAGCCGGAGGGGAAAGTCATCGGGAGTTTGTTGAAATTGTGGTTTGTGGGGTGGAGAATAATGTCTAGGTTCACGCACGCCACATTAGATAGTTTCATGATGGTTTAATAATATAATGTGCAAACTCATTTCGGATCTATTGGGCTCCAAATTATTATTTTCTTTTGTGCGAGAGAATTTTGAAACTACTTCTAGGAATTGTTCTGGGTCAAAATGACGTGTGTTTCCACGTTAAATGAGATAATATTATATTAAGAGTCCCCGTCCAGTTGCAAAAAAGGTCACTAAACACTTAATGACCTAGGATTTGCAGATCAAATGAGTATCCTTGCCACCGTTGTTAAATGAATCACTGCAGTTGTTCAATGAGTCACACGGTTGTTAAGTGAATCTGGCTTCCTCATTGACTTTGCTGGTCAGAAGGTCGCAAAAGGGGTCATGTAACCCCCCCCCCCGGGGACACTGTGGCCGTCATAAATAGGAGTCCATTGCTTAGCATCCAGATTTTGATCACGTGACTACAGGAATGCTGCAACAGTCGTAAGTGTGAAAAACATGGGGCTGGGTGATCCCCATGAGAAAAAAAAAACAACCCTGCACCTGTACAGGTTATCCTCGACTTACAACAGTTCATTTAGTGACCGTTCGAAGTTACAACGGCACTGTAAAATGGGACTTATGACTGTGTTTCACACTTACGACCGTTGCAGCATTCCTGTAGTCACGTGATCAAAATCTGGATGCTAAGCAACGTACTTACACACGGAAGTTTCCATCTGACTTCTGATAAATTCATGGGATTTAATAACCGTATGATTTGTTTAACGACGACGGGTGTGGTCATACGGTGGTTTACTTATGATCGCTCTGCTTAGTGATGGATGTTTTGGTCCTGACTGTGTTCGTAAGTCGAGGACTACCTGATGCCTTCTAACTGATAACTGGTATTATCAGTTAGCAAATTGCTTTAATGGAAATCCTTGTTAGAGAAGGGGAAAAAATGCTGGGGAAAAACAGAGATAAGTTATCTCCCATATTCAGGTCTTTTGACTCTCTGAAAATGTGATATCAAGATGTTAGACCGGTGCAAAAATCTTATGCCTTAAAACAGGGGTCTGCAACTTTAAACACTCAAAGAGACATTTGGACCCGTTTCCCACAGAAAAGAAAACACCGGGAGCCACAAAACCCTTCCCGTGCCTGACTATTTCTTGAGCGGCTACAAAACTAGCATATGTAGTTGAATTAAATGTTCTGTTTTCTTCTGAAACTTTTCTTTTCTTGGATTGATCCGTGGTTGGCCTACTGGGGGGTTGAAAAGCTCAATAAATCGCGTGCCGGCAGGTGTCGCACATTGGCAGTTGTGACGCATATTTTGAGTGACAGGGAGCCGCAGCAGAGGAGTAAAAGAGCCACATACGGCTCCAGAGCCTCAGGTTGCCGACCCCTGCCTTAAAACTTTGCAGCCTAAATAAAATTCTATATATAAAGTTCATACTGATGCCAGCAGCAACCGCTCGCTCGGATAATTCGGCTGAATTGGAGATGGGCAAGTTGGTCACTCTTACTAATAATTTGCAAATAAAAGCTCCCTTATTAACTGATTGCAGGTGGAGCTCCTAAATCAGACAAAATGTGAATTTGTGGTTTTAATATTAATATTTTTTAAAATTTTATTTATATGCCGCCCTTCTCCGGAGACTCAGGGCGGCTTACAGTGCGTTAAGCAATAGCCTTCATACTTTTGTATATTTATACAAAGTCAGTTTATTGCCCCCACAAACTGGGTCCTCAATTTACCTACCTTAGAAAGGATGGAAGGCTGAGTCAACCTTGAGCCTTGGCGAGATTCGAACTTACTTTAACTGCAGACAGCTGGTGTTAAATTACAGTGCCTTGTCTGCAGAGTTATCCAGGAACTTCCATTCCCCCAATAGATCATCGATCACTGTTTAAGCTGAATTGACAAGTAGATCTGTTTCTGTTTTTATGATGCCACAGGACATGTTTGTTTAAACTAAAATCAATGTTTCCTTTATTATTCCTTATAAATCTCTGTATAATTTATAATACCTAGGGTACCTGGAGATGGTTCTATTGTTGAGCTGGTTGTTTTTATGCCTCTTGCGAGTTAGGGCTTCTATTTTTGGGTTTTAGGCTTTGTATTAATAATGGATTTTCACATTTTATACTTGTAGTTTTTACGTTGTGGTTTTCTCACCTTGTGCACCACTGAAGTTGCCTGCAGTTAGATGGGCAGCTAGCTAAGTCTGATTAATCATAGTAGTAATAATAAGAAGAAGAAGAAACAAAGGCAAAAACAAAGGTTTTATTTAATTGACCAAACTAAGTAACAATTTTAATTAGCAATTTTATGATGTTTGTGTGTGTATATTTTTCTTGACTGTACACCGCCTTGAGTCCTACAGGAGAAAGGCGGTATAGAAATATAATAAATAAATAAATAAGTAAATAAATAAAATACAAGGAAAAACAGCTGGATGACATATTAAACAGATGGAAAACCAAAGCTTTGCATAAACAGCACTTGAAAAACAGTGAAGGAAATTGTGATGACAACTTGACATGGGCATGGCTTAAGATGGGAACCATCAAGAAAGAAACTGAAGATTTAATACTCGCTGCTCAAGAACAAGCACTACAAACTAATGCCATGAAAGCGAAGATATAAAAACCGTCTCCTAGTCATTGGCCCAAAGTCACCTAGCCAGCTTTCATGCCTATGACAGGACTAGAACTCACCATCTCCTGGTGATTGGCCTAAAGTTACCCGCCGGCTTTCATGCCTGAGGTGGACTGGAACTCACCGTCTCCTAGTCATTGGCCCAAAGTCACCTAGCCACCTTCATGCCTATGGCAGGACTAGAACTCACCATTTCTTGGTGATTGGCCCAAAGTCATTCAGCCAGATTTCATGCCTGTGGTGAGACTAGACCTCTGGGTCTACTGGTGATTGGCCCAGTCACCCAGCTGGTTTCATACTTAAGCCAGGACTAGAACTCACTGTCTCCTGGTGAAGTCCCAGTCACCCAGTTGGTTTCATGGTTAAGTCAAGACTAGAACTCACCATCTCCTGGTGATTGACACAATGTCACCTAGCTGGCTTTCATGGCTAAGGTGGTACTAGAACTCACCGTCTCCT